AGAATTATTGTTAATATTAATATTATATATTGTTTATTATTATTAAATATTTTAAGGGTTTAGGGTTTAGGGTTTAGGGTTTAGGGTTTAGGGTTTAGGGTTTGTGGGGGTTTATACCATCATGGATCTATTTGTTTCCTTCGCATGCATTTAGACGTTTTCTTCTTCTTTCCCTAATACACAAATGATTTCTTCTAAGGGGAATACCGATAACAAGCAGCAGCAGCAGCAGCAGCAGCAGCAGCAGCAGCAGCAGCAGCAGGTCGATGATGTTGACATAACAGCAACCAAACAACAGCAGCAACAAAATGACAAGCAGCAACAGCAGCAGCAGCAGCAAGGACGCAAGCTGTCCTCTATATTCCGTCGGTACCTACTGGGGCCCCTGCTGCTGCTGTTACTGATTACTGCTGTCTTAGCCCTTTATTATGGTATTAAGTCCCCTACCCCTAACAACAGCAGCAGCAGCAGGCCTCCAAGGGCCCCCATGAGGCAGAAGAGTACCCAAGAGAGGGGGGCCCCCGTTAGTATCTCCTCATTCAGTCAATCCAATGGGGGGCCCCAGTACTATGGGGGGCCCCTTATTACTCGATCTGCAGCAATTGTAGGTGGGGGCCCCCATATGGGTACTGGTAGGGCCCCCTTCTTAGGGAGACAAGTAACATCATTTAGGGGGGCCCCCCAAGAACAAATATTTAGGAGTTCCTTTTCTTCCCTTATTTATTCATATTTATTATCCCCTACATTAACAGCAAGAGGGGCACAAGAATCAGCAGCAGCAGCAGCAGCAGCAACAGCAGCAGCAGCAGCAGAGGGACAGATAACAAGGAGACCATTTAGTTGCTTTGTTATAAAAATATTAGATGGAGACACATTCATGTGTATACCTGTTGCTGCAGATACTGAGGTGTATGTACACCTAAATAAGCAGCAGCAGCAGCAAATAATGCCAGCAGCAGCAGCAATAAGGACACCTAGTGAGGTGTACGTACACCGCAGTACTGCACCTAAATTAGAGGTGTCTCCTCTTGTCTCCTCCTCCCCTAATTCCTTAACTGTGCGTCTCTATGGTATAGATGCACCGGAGACACGGATGCACCCTAAGAAGGAGACAGCAGCAGCAGCAGCAGGTGGTGCAGCACCACCATTGTCTGCAGCAGCAGCAGCAGCAGCTAAATATGGCTCAAAGCAGCTAGATATAGGGGGACAACCTCTAGGTATTGCTGCTGCTGCTGCTCTTGCTGATTTGCTGCTAGCTAGGGTTGTGCTGCTGCAGCCCCTGCAGCAAGACAAACATGGTACAGTAGTAGCAAGGGCCCTATTACCTACTGTCTCCTCGAGGGACACAGAGGGGGCCCCCCTATATACAGATTATCTGTATGTCTTGCTGCAGCGTATTGCTGGTCTACATGAGAGAAGAGTACATCCCCCTCCTGCTGCAGCAGCAGCAGCAGCAGCAGCAGCAGCAAACAATTCAGCAGCAAGTGGTGCAGCAGCAGCAATGGCAGCAGATAGAAAAGGGGCACAACGTAATAGGGCAGCAGCAGCAAAGACCCCATCTAAGAATGCTAAGGGGGCCCAGCAGCAGCAGCAGCAGCAGCAGCAGCAGCAGCAGACAACTACTACTACTCCTGCCCCTGCAGCAGCAGCAGCAGCACCAACTCCTGCTGCAGTTACGAACTTTATTGAGCTAATTAAATCAGCAGATATTAAGGCAGACCCTATGAAGGCATTAGCAGCAGCACAAGAGGTACTGCTGCTGGAGGCAAGCAAGAAGGGGGCCCCCCCTCCTGCACCAAGGGGCCCCTCTGGTTCTAAGAATACAGGGGCCCCTGCTGCTGCTCCTCCTCCTGCTCCCTTAGATATAGAGGAGACACTAGAGGAGAAGATGCTAAGACTATTAGAGGAATCACAACCATCGCAGCAGCAGCTGCAGCAGCAGCAGCAGCCAACAGGTTTGCTGCTGCATGATGTAAGTACTATTATGCTAAGAAGGGGCCTTAGCTGCCTATACACCGGAAAAACAGCAGAATATGCAGGAAGGAGACAGTTGCTGCGTCAGGAGCAGCAGCATGCTATTAATAATAAAGAGGGACTATGGGGCCTCTCTTATGCAGTAAGAGAGACAACAACAAGAAGAAGAAGAGGAGGAGGAGGAGGAGGAGGAGGAGGAGGAGGGGGCTTCGTTGGTTTCCTAAGAAGGGGACATTAAGGGGGGCCCCTCTAATTATATATAAATATATATAAATATATATTTATTTATTATATATTTATACTTTATATATATTTATATAATAGGGGGACAAGGAAAAAAATCATAGATTAGGGGGCCCCTAACAAGGGGCCCCTTCTGTGTCAGTGGGCGTGTTGGGGGCCCCCACAATTAGGGGGCCCCCTACTGTTAAATGAGGCAAAGAGGGGGGCCCCCCTTGCCTCTTGTTTGATTGGGTTGGGGGCCCCCTTTTGGTTAGTAACATGTAGTACCCTTAGGAGACAATTGAGAGGGGGCCCCTAAAGGAGACAGTAGTACAAACAATGGGCACAAGAGGAGGGGCCCCTTGGGGGCCCCCTTTTTTCTCCCCTCAACCTGTACCCACCATACCTGGCGGGCCCCCTAGAGGGGGGTCCCCCCGTTGGGGGGCCCTTTTTCTCCCCCTTGCAGCAGAAGGGGTAACGTAGTGTCTCCTTTTATTGCCTTGCTTGGTGTCTCCGTTAAATTGTATATAAGAAGCATTTGCTGCTATAAGGAGACACTTATTGCTGTCTGCTGCTAAAAGGAGACACTTATTGTTGTTTGCTGCTATAGGGAGACACTTAGTATAGTTTGCTGCTATAAGGAGACACTTATTGTTTGCTGCTAAAAGGAGACACTTGTTGCTGCTAAGAGGAGACACTTGTTGCTGCTAAAAGGAGACACTTGTTGCTGCCAAAAGGAGACACTCCTTGCTGCTAAGAGGAGACACTCCTTGCTGCTAAGAGGAGACACCTGTTGCTGCTAAGAGGAGACACTTGCTGCTGCTAAGAGGAGACACTCCTTGCTGCTAGGAGGAGACACTTATAAAGAAAGAAGAGACAACAATTGCCATCATAGAATAAATAATAAAAGATGTTAAAATTATAGACTGTCTCCGTCGGTTAGATTAGTACCCCGTTCTTGCTGCTGCTGCTGCTGCTGCAGCAGCAGCAGCAACAACAACAACAACAAGAACTGCTCGGCAGCTGCTGCTGCAGCTGCAGCAGATACAGCTGTGGCATTGTGGGGCCCGCAGCAGCACGATGGGATCGGCTCCTGTCTCTCCTGTGTCTCCCTGCTTATATGCGCAGCAGCTCTTGCTGCTGCTGCTGTTGCTGCAGCTGCTGCTGCTGCCGTTGCAGTCGCTGTCTGTGTGGCGGGCTGTAGTGTCTCCTTTGTGTATTAAAAGATTAAATATAAACCCTCATTATATATTATATATTAATAATATATAATAACAATATATATATATATATATATAT